TAAAAGTGTTTGTCATAATTATGTCTTGTGATTATTTAACAGAAGTTTTACTTTTAAACTGTAAGTGTATTTAATTTAGTTATGTTAGTTATGATGTAAATACAATAAAAATTAAACCAAGGTTTAGAATAATTATCATTTTGATCCATACATTGGTAATGTCTGACTGGGCCTCGTGGCACTTTATGTTCAATAAATTGGGCCCCGAGTTCAAAAAGTTTAAGAACCCCTGCAATAGATCACTTACATTTGTGTGACAGAAGATTATCGAACGACTCCGACCATCGAACAACCTCATCRGTTGATAGTCTGGAGGAGAGAAAGCCAAAGGAAACAGACTGATTGAGATTAACAGTTTCTCAATAATGAACACCATTACAAAGTGTTTCTTTCCCTTGTGGACAACWATGCTGAGCTCTCAACACTATCAGTGTAATTAAATGGTAAATGGTCTTGACATTTACCCAGTTTTCATTTTAACAAACTCCTGATTGGTTCAGAAATAGTATCAGCCAAGTCCTACTACTAATATAACACGGGTAAAATAGTATGATGCAAAAATAAATTGAGGATTTTTTTTCAAATATCAGACTCACTTCAGACACCTGGCTGTGGTTTCATGAGCCGGAGGCAGAAACTCAGAGAAATCACTGTAGGAGTCAGATTTTTTGGACAGGCAGCCTAATCTGGTCTTCATGGTGCAGAACCTGCTGGAAAAACAAACAGTAAAATACCTGAGTACTGTCTTATCACTGCTGTTTTCAGCTCCACAACTACGCATTGCAATGTAAAAATGRCAATATGATACACGTTTCAATGGCCTAAAGTGTTTTAACAGTTGATCAAACATCCAGATAATAATACATAAAAAATTAAATCACATCAAAAACACCTCAGTGAGTTTTATTGACATGTCCTGCTCTGCTCAAATCCAGGGACGGAGCTAGACCTTTGTTTTTGCATGGGGCTGCACGGGGTGGCCAATGTGGTTTTTAGGGGGGCACGTACAAATAAAGAAAAGCACACTGGATTTGAAAATTTAAGATGGCCYCTACAGAATAGAAGAATAGAATAGAATATGTCTTTTTTGTCATTGTAACAAGTATTACAAAATGAGGTGTTCCCTTCTGGTGTTTTAATAAAAAGTATAGAGAAGAGTAAAAAAATATTTACAGTATCGAAATGTAAAGAAGAAACAAAAAATTGTAAAAAAAATAAAGAGATATGGAATGTAAATGAAACGAAGGAAACACTGTACGGCTCTTTCACATTTGACAGAGTTATTGCACATAGATAATGTACATGTTGCACAATAAAATTGTGCGTATTGCACATTGGTTATAACACATCGGTTGTTTGTGAATGTCTTACACAGAAATATTGTGCATTTTGCGCGTTAATGTTTTACATAATCTTTTACATAAGTTTTCCTGATATGAACAATAAAACTTTCTGCTAGATTTAGATTTTTTTTATTTATRTCATCTGTGAAAAAACCAAATGCTTCACTCCAACAGATATTTCAACACAATGAATGAAACCATACCCTCCTCTCTTGTCACAGTCTGTCCCGACTCATTTGTACGCTGTTCCTGTCGTGTTGTGTTTGTCACTGTTTTGCCACTGGGACACATGGGTCAGGCCAGATGGGGCATGGTTATAAAGATGTTTTATCACAAGCCATCTTTGGAACTAGATTGTTTTTGTTTTATTAGACTGTTATACTCATTGTAATACAGCCTTTTATCTTCATTACGTTTTTCATTTTGGTCTTTATTTATGCACCGAATTAATTATAAAGTTTAGATGCTTTTCTACCTGGATCACTGAGATGCATCAGGGCATTTAGATGCTAAACATATAAAATCACAATTAAATTATGTATGAGGGATTCAAGTCAAATTCTAAGCTTCTCATCCCATCCATCCATCCATCCATCCATCCATCCATCCATCCATCCATCCATCCATCCATCCATCCATCCATCCATTTTCTTCCGCCTATCTGGGGTCGGGTCGCGGGGGCAGCAGCTTCAGAAGGGAGGCCCAGACCTCCCTCTCCCCAGCCACTTCTTCCAGCTCCTCCGGGGGAACTCCAAGGCCAGCTGAGAGACACAGTCCCTCCAGCGTGTCCTGGGTCTTCCTCGGGGCCTCCTCCCAGTGG